GTGAAATCAAGTTTCTCCTTGGAGGCTAGGATTTTGAAGTTCAGTCTCACATACTTTGGGCACATGGCCAGGAGAGATCACACACTGAGGCACATAAAATACATCATTAGCTCATGCAAGCATCTGCACGTGAATGTGACCATAGCACATTTAACTTAGAAGGATTTCGGTTTCACTTAGCTCTATTATAGTTACAAAGTTCAAAAATGTAAGCAATAGCCTTTAAACTTCACTAAATCCATCTTGTTTAATGGAATAAGATTGCTACTAACCATAAAAATACTAACATATTTTCTATCTATACACATGCACATATGTACTCTTTAGTCTGAAGAGTTTGACTTTGCTTAAATATTGAACCCATATTTAAAATAATTGCTATGAAATTAGTAAGCATACTCACCTCTACTTGTCCCTGAAGAGTTAGATGTAGGTTCTTTACTGCATCTGTAATTTGTTTGGTTTCCACATACCCAAGAACACTGCATATATTTTTCACTTCTTCAATAACATTATCCAAATTTTGCTGTAGATTATAAGATTCATATCTTACTGTTTATTGACATTGTGAGGACATTTATTTCTCTTCAAACTATCACTGTTACTAGGAAAATGACACATACCAAAATGTGGGCCCTTGCTTAGATATAAAAAGAATATTCTCAAGATTCTGTTTGTGATGTGACTTTTGCCCTAATCTGCAGCAAGAATGGTCTAAACTAAAATTATTAAGATTATACATTTGCAATTTGAAGTCCCCAGCTGATACAAACAGTAATGTGCTTGACTAATAAATGAACTTTTATAGTCATGAAGCAATTGCATCTGGTTTTGGAATCAGTGTCCAGGACAGCAAACTTATTTAAGTGAGATCCAAACAAATGCTCAGAACTTTCTGGGGAAAATGATGAAGGACATTTGTTTATCATCTAATTTCCACTGTCCTTGAAGCAATCAATGTTTCCCAAAAATAACTTGCTTCAAGTGGACTCTACTGTAATTGTTGTGTTGTTGTTATTTACCGTAGTCAGAATTGACCCATAGCTAATCCTCTGGTAGGTTTTCAGAGGCAGTTAATCACATAGGAAGAGATTGTCCATCCTTCTTCCTTGGAACGGCTGGTGGCCTCAAATTGCATGCCTTCAGGATTGCAGTGCAACTAATTGCCAGAAGTCCACCAGAGCTCCCGTAATAGCCTTTTTTTTCCTTTTTATAATTTTGCAATCACAACTGCAGACTGCCCTTAAGATAGTTATCCACATATTTTAGGCTCAAATTTCTGAGATTCTTTGATTGATATTCTGTTACAAGGTCATCATTAGTTGGAATGGACTCAACAAAAGTGGATGAATTTAGTATATATAGAAAAAATGGCAGCATTTTGAAATATGTTCCCTCTGACAGAGCCAATTCACTACAGCAAAAGATTAGTGGGAGAAAAACTTTTGTTTTATTCTATGTATTAATTATGAAAGAGGTACATATTAAATACCATATTCATTTTTTCATAGATTTATTATCAGTAGATATGTGATGTATGTGAATTTGTAAAATTCCATTATACAAATATCAGATAGCTTGATTAGAACATTATTCCAGTTTTGTAAAGTTTCTATCTGAAATAGGTTATTTACATATATTATCTTCTTTAATTTTAAACATTTTTT